CTACATGGCTTGGGGCCAGCTTATGTGAAGGACCACCTTTTTCCAGTTTCACCTGCCCGACCCACCAGACTGGGGAAGCAGGATATGTTACAGGTCCCCTTTATTAAGGAAGTCCATCTAGTGGGACCAAGAAGAAGGACCTTTTCCATGGTGGCTCCCTCCCTGGAACATCATCCCTGTAGAGATAAGACTGGCCCTCACCTTGATGCTCTTTTGCAAGGCCCTGAAGACATGGAAGTGCCAGCAGGCCTGGGGATCCCAGGTTGATACAGAGCCTATCAATGTATTGTTGTCGCCAGGGCGGTGGGGGGTTGGAGTGGGTTTTGTATCAGGATTTTTATTCTTGTAAGCTGCCTGGAGTCACCATGAGTGTGTTGGGCGGCCACATAAATTGTCATAAATAAATAAATAGATAAATAAATAAATAAATAGCTGGGGTGCATTTTCCGTAGAATTGTGTAAATGATCAAGTTTTGCTTTCTGCTGTTCTGTTGTAACTATTAGATAAATGGTACATGAACAAAATGTATCCCTTCCAATTCAGTTTCTTGTCATAAAAAAATAACAAAAAAGGAACTAAAATTAAAAAAAGAAAAGAAAATCCCACCTTAAAAGAAAAGTTTTCCACCCAATACATTTAGGTGTCTTAGGCATTAGCTTGGGACATATTTGGCATAGTTCCTCACAACTGGCATCACCATTTTTATCAAATTCTATTGAGTTGAAACTTTATTCCAGGGGTTAGCAACGATCTTATGTTCTTGGGTGCTATCATGAAATCTCGTCATTCTGTAGAGGTCCAAGACAAGCGAAAGTTGCCCCAAATCTCACCAGCTTGCTCACCTTATCTTATGAAATCTTGTATAAGTACCTCAATCTTTTAGTTGCTTGTTTTTAATTTGAATTCAGTTTAAGGGGCCCATGAACACCCTTTGAGATTTGATAGCAAGACCTGAAAAAGAATTATAAGCTTGTTCTGCTGAATAGACTTACCCTATCACTGTGATCTCCTCATTGGACAAGTTTGTAACATTATTCAGATGAGTTATGGTTATAGTTCCTTCTCTCAGGTGCCTGCAGAGTCTCATGGCTTATTCAGAGACACAATTCAGAATTCCCGAAGAGGGAGTTAGATAAGCATCAACTTTATTGATTTCAGGGCACCAAAGATAATGTTATTCTTCCAAGACATTGAATACAGTATATTAATCTGTTAATGTTGAATTTATATGCTGCACAGCCGCCTTTTAAATTCTCTGGCTGTTGCTTTGTCTATTTCATTGAGAATTTAATTATTGTCTTTATTTTATTGCATATCTGAAGTGTTATTCAAAATGTTTGTGGGAATTATTGTGATTTAAATGTATTATCTACTGGCCTGGGAAAATTTTACTTTGAAGGATGGTGCACACCTTTTTAAAGGAAAATAAATATAAATAGTATTTCCCAGAAGATTGCATGAGCAGAAAATGTAATTTCTTTGCTGAGTGGTCCTGATACCAGAACCAATCAGCAGAGCATGATGTAGCTTTGCCGGCCAATAGCTGTTGATAGCTTCTACTATCACTTGTCTTTTTTGTAGCAGTGAAATTTGATCATGCAAAGACGAGTAATTGTATTCTCTTTCAATGTCTGGAGGGGCTAATCAGATCTGATTAATGAGGTTGTGACTGAGGATCTACTCAATCTGTTTGGGTGGCCATCCACTCCAAACTTTCCTGGAACATACAGTATTCTCCTGGATGCCAC